TACGAAGTGGAAGCTCCTCCCACCTCTTTCCACTATAGTAGAGCGAACGCTGGAGAGGGGGCGACCTGCTCTCTACCGTTTGCTCAGCTGAAGTGGAAAGGGGAGGAAGGAGCTTCCACTTCGTTCTTGACCTGTCACCGACTGTAGAGGCATCGCAAACTTTTGTCGAACGGGATTTTTAGGTTTAGGTCGAACTTTTGGGGTTTGACGAACCTTCAAACTTTTAGCTATAGTCTGTGACAGGTCAAGAACGAAGTGGAAGCTCCTCCCACCTCTTTCCACTATAGTAGAGCGAACGCTGGAGAGGAGGGGACCTGCTCTCCACCATTCGCTCAGCTGAAGTGGAAAGGAGAGGGAGGAGCTTCCACTTCATTCTTGACCTGTCACCGACTATAGAGGTGTCGCAAACTTTTGTCGAACCAGATTTTTAGGCCGAACTTTTGGGGTTCGACGAACCTTCAAACTTTTAGCTATAGTCACTGACAGGTCAAGAACGAAGTGGAAGCTCCTCCCACCTCTTTCCACTATAGTAGAGCGAACTCTGGAGAGGAGGCGACCTGCTCTCTACCGTTCGCTCCGCTGAAGTGGAAAGGTGAGGGAGGAGCTTCCACTTCGTTCTTGACCTGTCACCGACTATAGAGGTGTCACAAACTTTTGTTGAACCAGATTTTTAGGTCAAACTTTTGGGGTTCGACGAACCTTCAAACTTTTAGCCATAGTCAGTGGCAGGTCAAGTACGAAGTGGAAGCTCCTCCCACCTCTTTCCACTATAGTAGAGCGAACGCTGGAGAGGAGGCGACCTGCTCTCTACCGTTTGCTCAGCTGAAGTGGAAAGGGGAGGAAGGAGCTTCCACTTCGTTCTTGACCTGTCACCGACTGTAGAGGCATCGCAAACTTTTGTCGAACGGGATTTTTAGGTTTAGGTCGAACTTTTGGGGTTTGACGAACCTTCAAACTTTTAGCTATAGTCTGTGACAGGTCAAGAACGAAGTGGAAGCTCCTCCCACCTCTTTCCACTATAGTAGAGCGAATGCTGGAGAGGAGGCGACCTGCTCTCCACCATTCGCTCAGCTGAAGTGGAAAGGAGAGGGAGGAGCTTCCACTTCATTCTTGACCTGTCACCGACTATAGAGGTGTCGCAAACTTTTGTCGAACCAGATTTTTAGGCCGAACTTTTGGGGTTCAACGAACCTTCAAACTTTTAGCTATAGTCACTGACAGGTCAAGAACGAAGTGGAAGCTCCTCCCACCTCTTTCCACTATAGTAGAGCGAACTCTGGAGAGGAGGCGACCTGCTCTCTACCGTTCGCTCCGCTGAAGTGGAAAGGGGAGGGAGGAGCTTCCACTTCGTTCTTGACCTGTCACCGACTATAGAGGTGTCACAAACTTTTGTCGAACCAGATTTTTAGGTCAAACTTTTGGGGTTCGACGAACCTTCAAACTTTTAGCCATAGTCAGTGGCAGGTCAAGAACGAAGTGGAAGCTCCTCCCACCTCTTTCCACTATAGTAGAGCGAACGCTGGAGAGGAGGCGACGTGCTCTCCCCCGTTCGCTCCGCTGTAATGGAAAGGGGAGGGAGGAGCTTCCACTTCATTCTTGACCTGTCACTGACTATAGAGGTGTCGCAAACTTTTGTCGAACCGGATTTTCAGGTCAAACTTTTGGGGTTCGACGAACCTTCAAACTTTTAGCTATAGTCGGTGACAGGTCAAGAACGAAGTGGAAGCTCCTCCCACCTTTTTCCACTATAGTAGAGCGAACGCTGGAGAGGAGACGACCTGCTCTCTACCAATCCTTCCACTGAAGTTGAAAAAGGAGGAAGGAGCTTTCACTTCGTTCTTGACCTGTCACCGACTGTAGAGGTGTCGCAAACTTTTGTCGAACCGGATTTTTAGGTTTAGGTCGAACTTTTGGGGTTCGACGAACCTTCAAACTTTTAGCTATAGTCAGTGGCAGGTCAAGAACGAAGTGGAAGCTCCTCCCACCTCTTTCCACTATAGTAATGCGAACGCTGGAGAGGAGGCGACCTGTTCTCCACCGTTAGCTCCACTGAAGTGGAAAGGGGAGGGAGGAGCTTCCACTTCGTTCTTGACCTGTCACCGACTATAGAGATGTCGCAAACTTTTGTCGAACCAGATTTTTAGGCCAAACTTTTGGGGCTCGACTGGTTCGTACCGGTCCGACAAACCTTCACACTTTTAACCAAATTCGACCGGTTCGACTTAGTGGATAGTGTGGCCAGACCTTGATAAAGCACGTCTAGCTTTGGAGAATTTTTTTTTTATGCAAAGGGTTATTTTAATTTGATGAACAGTTGCAATTAAAAAAAACGTTCTAATCACTGAAGAAGTTAATAACTTAATTTTTTTGTGCTGTATTATCTGAAATAACCAATCAGGGCTGCCCTAAATTCATTCCTTAGCCATCACCATCCAATCCGAAGCCAACTGACTAGCCTGTTGCGCATGCGCGTAGCAATCGAACCTTTGTCGAACTTTTCACAAGAAGGTCGAAAAAGTCGAACCTGGTCGAACTCGCACCTCGACCGGTTCCCGACATCCCTAATAGGATCTTTATGCGACTTTTTTCTTTTAAGATCTCTGGGTTCCCAGGTTGTGGCAAATGGCGCCGTCTCGCTGGTATACGCCTCGCAAGTGGGCTCATTTTCATCTGCGCATGAGAAAGGAAGTAGCGGTGATGTCAGAACGCCGAGCCCTGATTGGCTGATCGCGACCCCCTATCTGAGCGTCGTCTGCTCCTTTGCAACGTCGTCTGCTCGCAACATCGTCTGCGTCTGTCTTACCTTTCCTGCGACTTTTGGAAGTGCAGGTCTTTACGAGCGAGCTCGACTTCGCAGAGAGGGCAGACGAAATAACTCGAGCGGTACGTTGTCTTTGTCTCACAACTAGCAGACGCGCATCAAGGAGGGAAGTCAAAGGACTCACTGGCGAGGTGTCCCGAGGCGCCGAGGTTTGTTTGCTAAGAACCGAGAGTGAGCGTGTTAGTGTCCGCAAGTTCCCTCCCAAATACTTTTTCCCTCTTTTCGTGTGCTACGAGACCCCTCTCTTTAGCAGCGTGGGCGGGTTGGCGCAGTTAACGTCGTCTGCTTTACGTCTGCTAGTCAAAGCGATGGCTGCTTTACCTTTCCTGCGTCTGTCGGAGATTCACCGCTTTTTCACCGGCAAGAGTCACCGTTGCCTCGGGAAACAAGGAGATAACAAGAGGAAGAAATTGACTTCTTAATCTAAAATTGAGGTCAGCGATCAAAGTATAATACGGGAAGGGTTCACAAGGGTCGCGCGGGCACATTCCATTCAGCACGCCAGCCGGTCGTGGGCAGACGGCCGACGAGTCGCGGAGTGCCTGCTTGGTCGCGTTCGGTGGAATCGTGGCCGTTGGAGCTTTTCCCGGGTGTTTGTGGATCCAGCGTTCTTGTTCGTCGTGGTCTGTTTTAAGTACTTTTTACTTTTTAGAGCGCAGCTCTTAGGCGCCCGTTTCCAGCTTGAGCGGCGTCGCCGTCGGCGTCGGCAGAACCGCGCGTTGCACGCAACTCAGGTCGCATGCAACCTGAGTTGCATGCAACCTTAGAGCATGCAACCTGGGGATCGCGTGACCCGGGAAGTCGTGTGACCTGAGGGGGTCACGTGACCCCCATCAAGATCACCCCCAGGTCACCCGAAGGTCGCGTGACCCCCTAAGGTCACGTGACTCTCCCCCAAAATCACGTGGCCCCCCTCCCCGAGGTCGCGTGACCCCCCCCCCTCCCCCCTCCGAAGTCACGCGACACCTTCCCCCCCCCCCCCCCCCCGAGGTCACGTGACCCCCTCCCCCCGAGGTCAGGTGACCCCCCCCCCCCGGAGCATATTAAAGAATGAGGGGGGGAGGAGGAGGAGAATGAGGAGGAATCTATTCCCCGCTCAGTACCCTTCCCTCCTCCTCCTCAAGAGCTGCGCTCCAAATCGGTGTTACAGGGACTTGTAAACGGCTTTCACATTTTTTCTTGCTGCTTGAAGTGGGGACGCGTGAGAAGCGCACGTAGAAAAATAAACGTCCGTGGGTCGTCGCGACCGCGACGCTGTCGGCCATGCTGATTTGATCGTAAGAAGTGCGAAAGACAGCTTCGGAGCTGTCGTAGGATTTCGTCTCAACCTGCGCAAAACTTACGAAAATTTCGTTTGGTGAATACGAATTTGTTCTTAAGTTTTGTCTTACGCACATTTTTGGCGTAAGATCGTTTCGTGAATCTGGCCTCTGCACTTCCGGAAGTCGCAGGAAGGGTAAGACAGGCGCAGACGACGTTGCAAAGGAGCAGACGACGCTCCGATAGGGGGTCGCGATCAGCCAATCAGGGCTCGGCGTTCTGACGTCACCGCTACCCCCTGCGCAAGAAGCAGACGAACTTGCCCTCCGCATACCATTGTGTCGGCAGAAAGGCTGACGGGACGGGCAGTCTGCTCTGATATCCGTAAGAGACCGGAGCCGCGCGAACGCGTCGGATGGCACAAATATCAAGGGCGCCGTCTTTTTTCGCCCAGTAAATTCAGTCGGTGGGCAAGGGGGTTTTTCGCGAGTATGAACGCGGCTGAAGGCGGCGACGTTTACAGACGATCAACGACGTGTTCGGGGCCTCCTCGCAGCTCGTACTGGGAGCTGTGACCACCACGTGACCCCGACCGATTAGTCTGTCCGTTTTCTTCTTTGGTCCTCGTGTATTTTCGCGCTGATTCTATGCTGATAATCTAGTGCTGAAAGTGCATTTGGCACTTGTGATCACGGAAAATGCCAGACTTACACAAATAACTCGTCGTTTCTAAGCAAGCGCGCTTGTCCACAGGAGCTGTGGCCATGGTGCATGGAAAACGAGACTGAACGGTACTGAATGATGGCGTTTCGCGTATGCCGACCGCCGTGACGTGACGCCGTAAACACGAGTTGATGAGCATGCTGTTGCACGTGATCTTCGACCGCTAGGTCGGAACTCAAACAAAACATTCCCACTCGTTCACGATGACTTTGACTGAAATTTATGATACCTTTGTTCTCTAGTGACCTGGTGTAAGTGGGTGGTGGGAGTATCACAGCTCGTCCCTATCAATCTGAGCTTTTGGCGGTATATCCGTCTGCTGCTGCTGCATCGTCCCCATGTCTTCGGCGAGTTTTTGGTTGGCTTCGTCGACAGTCATGCCCTCTGGTGCCATCTGCGGAATAGTAAAGAAAAATTACTACGTGCCGTGCGCTATCGTAATAAATATTTGCACTAGGGACGTCAAAAGGGACTATGAAATATTTTTATCACTTGTTGACAGGCACTTTTTTGTGATCATTTCACAAGATCGCTACAAAAGTTATAAAAAAAAAGAATATGTTGAAGCGAACGGCGTTAAAGAGCGGCAGCAAGAGTCCGCCTCATTTCTGTTGTTTGGAAAAAAACAAAACAACAATGCAGTCCTCTTCTGTATCGCCTATATGAAGACATCACTTAAAATAGCACGACCTTGTCCTGTCTAAATGTTTCTTCAACGATCCGGCAAACTTTGTAACGCGCCAAGTTGCCGCAACAGCGCAATCAAAGCTACGGCGCGGGCGTCCAACATTGAGCTAAACGTCATCACCATTGCCTTTTTTTGTTTGTTTTTACTTCTCCGGGCAAGTGTAACGGTTGACGTCGGCAACGTTCCCTTTCGGCGCTCAGCGGTGTCCACGTGATTGGCGAACGCGCCTGCGCAGCGCGCTCCTTGAAAGCACGTCCGGCCGTCCCCGCCGTCGTCGTCTCACCGTTTGTGATTTATTTTCTCTCGGAGTTTCGTTCACACTACGGACTCTGCGCAGACTTATGCCGCAGTTGTGCGGACGTCTTCGAATGTCGTTGACGCGAAAGCGTGGTGAAGAGTGCGGTGCAGACTACACTTGCGCCTGCTGCGCAGAGGATCACGTAACATCTCGTACCACGTGATAGCCATGTTCTGAATGGATGGATGTTAATGGCTGCACCCTTTGTAACGTCCGGTAGCTTGTGTCTCGCTCTCATTATGGCAGGCGGCACATGATGTGTCTGTCTCCTGAAATTTAGCCATATACGTCCTCGTCCTCAGAACTCCCGTTCTCGCCTCAAGCACTAAAGAACTTCCCAGTGAATTGTCAAACATATGTTCGTGTGTCTTGTTTTTGTGACCTGTACGTTGTTAGAGCTCATTTTCCCTGCATTGTTCTCTCCCACATTTTCCTTTGTGCCTCTTTTACTCCCTTTTCCGCTGAAGTGGTCTGCTCAGCCGCATCACGTAGGTATTTAAATGTAAGCTTTAGGGTTCGGTTTGTCCATTTTGTCTTTAAACCTTTCATGTATAAATACTTGAATGCTGTCCGTGCCCGTCGCGTATCATCCATGTCGGTCAACCTTTGTTCAAACTTCAACTTGCTAATTGCCTCCCTGCTCAAAAGACGACCAGCCCATGTCTCTTTGCACTCCTTCATTGGGTGCCTTTCCACGTGCTCCCAGTGCCCATTTGCCTACGCTTCTTTGTCGAATTTCTAATTATGATTGAACCTTTGACTTTGACTGAAAGACAGTCCTGGTGCCATCACTCCTTTCCATATACCACTGACCACTTCATATCTTTTATTGTTCCATAGTGCCTTGGGCTTCATAATGGATTAATTTATTTTTCCTTTTCTAATTATATTCTCCTCATGTTCCCCTAGATATTTCCTTCCCTCATTGATCCAGACTCCCAGATATTGGCATTTCTTTACATGATTTATTACAATCTTGTGTCCTCAGGAGTTCCCTCTTTCGTCATTATACACCATTACCCCAGACTTGTCTCTACTAAAACTCATGCCCAATGTGTCCCCTTCCTTTCCACATATTCCAGCTAGTTCCTGTAATGTATCCTGGTTATCTGCCATGAGTACTATATCGTCCGCATACATCAGTCTTGGCATTACCTGTATCACGTTTCTCCCTCCTCCATATAGCTCCCATCAAAACCTAAGTTGCTCTGCTCTAATTTATTTTCCATTTCACTGAGATATATCATGAAGAGCAGAGGTGGCAGTGGAGAGTCCTGCCTGAGTCCTCTTTTTATGGCTGCGGGTTATCTGGTTTCAGCTTCCCATGTTATAACTACCTTATTGTCTGTGTACGCCTGCTGAAGAAGCCTAACCATATCTGCGTCTAAATTATACTCCTTCAGCTGACCCCAGAGGTTTTCCTGGCCCACGTTATCATACGCTCCCTTGTTCTCCAAATAGGCTAACCATAAAGGAACTTTGTTCTTCATTGCTATTTCTACACATTGAGTGGTGACGAATAAGTTATCTTTCAATCTTCTGCCTTTCGGAATCCCTTTTGGAGCTCACCCAGTATCTGGACGTCTTCTGCCCATTCCTCCATTCTCTGCGTTACTATCTGCTTAGCTAATCGGTATAGAACTGAAGTTCCCGTTATCGGGCGATATGACTTATGTTGTCTTTGTTTCCTCTGCCTTTATACATGCATTAGTCTCACTTTACTTAGTTTCCAATCATTGGGTGCCTCTCCTTCCATAATTATTTGATTAATCACATGCCGTAACTTCAACCTGTTTGTGTTTCCTAGTGTCCTAATGAGTTCCATGGGTATGTCGTCTGGGCCTGTCGCTGTACCTGCCGAAACCTTACTTTCTGCCTTGTCCCGTGCTCATCTGGTCGTCTCCATTGTTACACAATTCTGCTCCTCTACACTGCTGCTGTCAGTGCTATCCACCGTCCCCCTCTGCTCAAGTTGGGAGAAAGCCTCTTCGATTATCTGACTAATATATTCCCGTGCCTCTTCCCCCTCTACTCTTCTCCGCACCTGTGTGATCGGTAAGTGTTGAAAACTCGCTGTCTTTCTCCCCTGCGCTTTAATGTGCTCCCAATACCTTTTTGCAGCATTTCTACCTTTTTTTTTCTTCTTTATTTCCACTCCCAATTTGGCCCGTATTAAAGGTGACGCCTGCCTTTGCTGCTCTTGTAAGTTCTCCCATTTGATGCTACTTCAGTTGGTAAGGCTCCCGTTTTATTTGCCCAGCTATGCTCCCTAGATGCCTCCTGGCACCGCAACATGGTTGCTTTGACCTCCTTATCCCACCAACTTCTTGGTTTGTGTCTTCTTTTTTGCTTTCCTCTGTTTATTTCGATGCTTCTCTAATTCCCTTAGATTCCTATTAGATCCTCATACGGCCATTCTCTTTCTGGTTGTTTCGATACTACGTTCTCAATACTAAAATAGATTTTTTTTTTTTTTTTTTTTTTTTGTATTTCAGCTTCTTTCAGTTTTGGTTTATTTCCTCATCCCTGAGCTTGTTGTTCTGGTTCGGAAGCGCCAACTGTAATCTTAATTCTCTTGTGGTCACTCCCTAAGCTTTTTGTATCTTCCTCGTCTATTTCCATACTTCCTAACCTGTCATACAGTTATCCGGACATAAGGCAGTAGTCTATTGTTGAGATTGAGCTGTTTCAATCCCACGTTATTTTCCCGTCATATTTCACTTGTGCGTTAACTAGCACTAGGTCCAGGGCATCACAAAAATCTTCTAACAGCTTTCCGGTTGTATCTATGAACCTGTCAAACTCCTCTAAGTGGGCACTCATGTATCCTATGATAATTATTTCCTGATTAAGGCCAATCTTTCTGATATCCCTCGATGTACATGTATAGTGTTCCGTAGTTTCCCCCCTTGGCGGCCCGAGGCCAATGTTGCCAGACGAAACCGAAATTTCGGTTTTGATTTCTGCTCGTGTTTACAACAATATATATCGCCTTTTTTGCGAGGCAAATGATGCAGTGTCTTTTATTAGTGCTTTTTAATCTGAAATCACTCATTCTCCCCAAATCTTCGGATTTGAGTGGAGTTGCCCTTTAAAGAGTCTTGGTTCTCAGCGCCACGCTAAGCAGCTGCCATTCCCCGAACCACCGAATCACATTTCTTCGATACACATTTGACGACTTCGAACTGTTTTCCGGTGAATGGCCACTGCTCAGCACGGCGGCAAGCGCCGATATGTTTAAGGTTATTGCCTGCGGCCCACTACTGTGTCGTTTATGGCGGCCGGCCAGTCTATACTGTTCTGGCGGCGTAGCTTCGTATGGAAGCTGCCTTTTGTTGTTTGTCGTTTTAGAAGACAAACTGCAAAGCCGACACGATAGCGACTCAACGGTTTCATACCCTGATGTCGGCGTCCCGCTGCCCTGGCAGACACAGCTTGACGGTGCTGTCGCAGAACTCTTTCTGTAGCTTGAGGTTGTCCTTCACCTTGTACTTCTTGTAGAAGGACTGCAGACTGGACGTGAGTTCACCTCGGTAGTTATCTGTCGTTGGGAGTAATTCACGTTGCATCAATACGTACCCTTTTCTTTTTGGCTGGCCGTTTGAAGGAGTTTGTTTGAATGAAAAAATAAATGGCGCATGCATTGGCCACTAGCGAGCTGCTTCCACGCAACCAGGCTATACGTCGTACGGGAGATATGGCCGCCATGGAAATAGCGTTCTCAACTACCCGCCGCTTTAACCGAACTTTCTTGAGCGCTAGCGGTCGAACATAACCAGACTAGAATAATCTAAGCATACAAGCAAATTTTACTTGCTTTTTACGAAATAAGTATGCGCGTTATTTCCGAACTTTTTCGTTTTGAACTGATGTTCCACAACGGCAAGCGTTTGAAGCTATTTCGGAGGTAAGAGACCACAAGGATAACACAATACAGCTGCTATCACTGCTGTATGGGACCGTTCGGCTGGGCCAGGGGGCGCGCTGGAGCGATACCGGTGGCGCCACGCCGTGGCCCAAATTCGCTCTACTTAGCCGTACGCTCGTCCCATCGCTCTGCCAGTTGCAATGGCGGGCACCGCGCTGAAGCTTTCTGTCCGTTAAAAAACTAATAATTTTTTAGGGAGGCGAACCTCCGCAAAGAAAGGTTGCCTGTGTGTCAGGTCTCCGGGGTGGAGCAAATGATCCAGGCATAGGAATATTTGTCGTTGGCGAAGTGTGTCCCGCAAGTGCAAGACAGCGTCGACTGTAACATCCGCCTCGAGATAAATGCTCTTTTTCTTTATGGTTTCGCTAGCTCTTCAAAGTCAGGGCTATTTGGAGAAAGATGAGGATGCAATATTGTATAAATTGTCTTTTCGCGCACAGCTGCGCTGTCGCATACACACCTTGAACTCAAGTCAGTTCTCGGAGTTACCGGCTGATGGAAGCATGCCGCGCCTGTTCTAATTCATCCGGATGAAGTTAATGACGAGGCACGCACAGCCTAATCGCAACACTGGGTCAAGTTTTAATAAAAAGAAAAAGCGAAACGGTACGTCAATAAGGCCTCCTCTTTTATCTTGAGCGGGTCCAACAAAATATATATATATTACTATACGCCGCGACACCTTGCTGTGTTTGCGCGCATCTGTCGCTGCCGTCAAAGCGGTAGAATTGCAATTCATGCACGCGCGTCAGTAACCCACTTTTAATTTTATTAGTGAAAAAAGGGATCTCCAATCGACTTGCATTTGCGTCGTAAAGCGTCCCTTTTTTTAACTTATTTTTATGTGACCGCAGAATGATAATTTTGAAGACTGTTCCGGTTCAGAACAAATAAAAAAATTGTCGTCACTATTTGTTTTGTTTGCTGTTTAGGTACAATTAAACTTGATATATCTTGAGTCTGTGTGCCAGGAGAGCGTCGTCAATATTTGTTCACTCTCTCTCTCTTGCTCTGCAAGAGCATATTACTTAATTTTAAACTTCAGTCATGAAGGCTTAGTTACTGGCCTTTGTGACGTGCCCTGTGCTGTCCTCGTTCTCTTTATTTTGCTTTCAATTTATACATCTAACATCGCCAACACACTCTTATTGGTGGACCGAGGAATGTCCGGGGTTGATTTTTTAGAGTTACTTGGGAAGTAATTATGCCTGTTGGAGGTTAACTACATCATTTTAATAATATAAAAAAAGAACTAGAGTACGGTCGTCAGTGTAAATCTCTTTTCAACTATGCTCTCAAGTCTGTGCTCAATACGGTCTATGATTATCTGCCTCATTGGCCCTCATGTCTTTCTCTGCTTACTCGCCTTCTGTTGTAAGCATCAGGGAACAAAATTAATAGAAATTACTGTGAGAGCGCAGGCGAGCCGGTGTGTATATTAACAATTTGGATGAATTACTCGAGACTGGGGCGAAAAAAACTAAAAATATCAACCGCGTATGAGAGATACTTCTTTCTGTCCACGGTTTATGTTTCAAGTTTTCTCGACCCAGTCTCCACTAATTCACCAAAATGGAAAATTGGCTAGTAAGCAAGGTAAGCTGGGTTCTCAAATTTAAACTTGTTTAAGAAATAGTAACTGCATAATCGGGTTTATTTTGTCGGCATCCATGGGGAAGCGTCCTAGCTATTGCATTAGGAACGTCTAACATTGCCAACCCGCTCAAATTGGTCGACCCCGGGATGCTCTAGAATCTAATTTTGAGAGGCCCTTGGAAAGTAATTATACCTGTTGTGGGCTAACTACATAATTTTATTAATATATAAAAAAAAAAAACTTGAATACAGCCGTCAATTTATTTTCAATTATGCGTTCAAGTCGGTAGGCAATAGGGGCTACGATTATCTGCCTAGTTTTTCCCCAGGTCTGTTGCCGCTTACCATCTTTCTGTTGTTCACATCGGGGAACAAAATGGGCGGGTAAGCAAAGTGAGATTGGTTCTCAAATTTAAAGTCCTTGATAAAAAAAAAATGGTAATTGCATATTTGAGTTTTGTTTGTAGACAGCTATGGGGAACCATCGTAGCTATTACATTAGGGACTTATCGTAGAACGTCAGTGTCGGATTGCGGGCCCCACTGGCGCCAGCTCGTACCGCCCCCAAGCAACGCAAAACCTCTGCATGCTCTCGCGTGTGACCTACAAAAAGTCCCTATTAATGTGACAAGCAAGCGTAGCTGCATTACTGAATCACGCGACAAGATAGAGAAACAACAATTAAACCTGTCCTCCGCACAGCTGACGATTCATGCTTCTGACAATCTTTCTTAAATAACCTCCCAGGAACCAAACAAAGCTTTTCGGGAGGCGGATACCTATCTGTTTAATATGATGCTGTGACATTTGGGTACCTTTTGCATTTGGTACATTACTTTACGAAGCGCGAGGCCAGCACGACAAGCGCACCAGCCTCCCGCGTCGTCTGCTCCTCGTACTTCTAACAAGTATCGGCGCGCCTCGCCAGGGGGCGGAGTGGCGCTGCGTACGTGCGGCGAAACTTCAGCCGCACAGCCCTATAGCAAAAAAGGATGTATTCTTACACCTTTCGTCCCATATAAGATACTCCAAAACTTCAGTTCGACGTACCAGCGCAATTAAGTCGATCTGACGGTACTAGCTTTCACTAGAGGCTTGATAGCCGTGGGGTACAACTTATTAAAATAGTTAAAGTATATGTTATTGACTACACACAAAAAAAATACAATCGGGGTTTTCTTGGCCCTACTGCAAAACCTCAGTGTCTTTTTTCTGTGGTCTTTGATACGCACTTTAGTGATTTAAAAAGTTATATCGCACCGTTATCCAGCCCCTCGTAAAGTTTGGGGCCGTCTGTTGGACCATAGGGCGCTGTACGTCGAAATGAAGTTTTGGGGTGCATTACATGGGACAAAAGGGTGTAAGGTGATACCCTTTTTCTGTAAAGTGTATTTTGAAGCATTCACGGGAAGACAGCGCCATGCAATCTCAGCAGTTATTGCCCTGTGCACTTTCTTACCTGTCGGCAGTCCCGCAGTAACGCAAGCTTGCTTTTACGCCTCTGTGGGACTTGACCAGCCTCTTCAGCGAGTACAATAAATCAAGAAGCTATGAGCTTAATCGAATTCGTCTGTGTGCAGTGGCGTTCCAACTTATTTTTGAGTTGGGGGGGGGGGGGGGGCGGGTGCAAACCAGACCTCCCCCCTTCCCCCCCCCCCCCCCCCCCCCAGGTCGGGGGTGCGGCGCCCTTGGTATCTATTGGGCGCCGCCGAGCAATGTTTGCCCTGCCTAGTTGCGGCTGTTTCAGGGGGGGGGGGGGGGGGGGGAGGCAAAACACATGCCTTGCCCCCCCACTCTGAGAACTGGCGCGGGGGGGGGGGGGGGCAAGCGCTTCCCTTGCCCCCCCCCCCCCCCCCCCGGGTTGGTACGCCCATGTCTGCGTGCATCACTGCGACGTTCACCCCGTTCCGACGTCTGTACCACCTGCTTCATCACGTGGCGATGTACTTGGGAAGTGCACCTACCTAGAATGAAGCTGCAGGCCTTCATCATCTTGGGCGGACTGTGCCTGTAGATAACGAAGTTGTCCGTGTTGCAGAGTCCTCGAAGCGCAGCCTCGATGAGCTTCTTCCGTCCCTGGCTGTCGGCCAGCTTCTTGTGCAGCTCTGAGTAGAAACACCTGACTCCAGTCCAGCTCACAGACTAGGAGCGAACTACAAGCTGATTCATTTTGAACTGTGGGAGACTGAGTGGATTGAGACAAGGTGAAAAATTTTCTTTTTTTTTTTTCTTTCATGAAGACGGTATTTTGTGTTTTTATAGACCATTCCAATCTGTGAGCTACCACGTTTGTCTGTTTGATATGGTTGTGGAAAGCGCGTCCTTAACGTGCGCAGAAGCTCTCTCTCTCTCTCTCTCTCTCTCTCTCTCATATTTCGTTTTGTTATGGTAACATCTGCCATATCAAACAACAAATTTCTCCAAAAACACATCTCTCTGCCTGGCTGGTAGAGTGTGTCCCTTTTGTGTTGTTTTGTTTGCGTCAAAGGCAGCAGCGAAGTACTGTGGTTCAAGTTGAGTTGGAAAAGGGTTCGATTTAAGTTGAATTAAGCCTAACGAGCGCCAATAAAAATAGTTATACAATCAGACCTGTACCATGGAGTTTATAAAGTATAAACACTCAGTGCAAGACACCGATATTTGTTAATTGGGCAATCAATCGAGCGCCAACAGAAAATATGTACTGCGTATATTAGAAATTGGGGTACTCACCCTGTAGAACCGCCACGCAACCATCGCACTGCAGCCCTGAATGCAAGAGCAGTGTGTAAGTGTTAAGACGTATTGTCAATCATAGAGATAGTGTTTGTTTAAATGTTTTGTTGCTTTTCTTTATAAAAATGAACAAAATCTTGTGGAGGAATGAAATATGCAGAAAGTCTTGGACGACATCTAAAGCCCGGTTCAGACAGTTGCGTTTGACTGCGTTTGACTGCGTTGCGGATGCAAGAAACCAGGACATCCCTGCTGCTTCTATCGCGTGCCAAGATGATTCCTTGAATTGGATTCCACGCTTCATGCGAAGCACAGATGTGCCGGTGACTCGCTTTCGGTTCTCGACGCAACGCAGTCAAACGCACTCAAACGCAAGTGTCTGAACCGGCCTTAATACATATTTTTCACCCTTTTTTTTTTTTTTGTAATTGTTTAGCATGCAAACAACCTATCAACTGTGCTTGAAGATGCAATTCCAAGTATGTGCGTTTTTGGTTTTTTCTTGTGACCGAATTAATTTTTTTAACTGAACAACTTGTTCACAGACACTTTCTTTTGTCACCAAACATTGAGCGCTCAAGCCTAACGAGGTGTTTCTTGGAATGTGTGCCAGCGTTTGTCGTACGCTGGTTCGTTGGGAACAGGCGGAGATTCCCTGAAATATTGGTCTTTTGAAGCCTTCTTCAGAATTATTTGCTGTTCGTGACGGGTCACGACAAAGGGCATAGTTACTCCGTGCCGCCACCAGTAACAAATCGGTGTTTTATAAAAACTTGGTTCGGTTCCGTTACTCACCTTGACTCGGTGGTTTTTCGGCGGCCTGGGCAGGACCCAGCCAAAGACACAGCAGTCCAAAAAAAAGCCCACACCTAATAACCATAGTTGCTCCTGGAGACTTGATGGCGGTCGGCAGCAAACACGAGGCCAAAGCAGAGGCCTTTAGCGTGGATACGTAGGGGAGGATCCCACGTTGCAGCCTTTTATCAATACGGGCATTGTTCAGGCTCAGATAGGAAAAAAAGAAAACTTATCTCGGTCGGTATGAGTGAGCCGAGATAACACGACAAAGTTCGACTGAGAGAAAATCGGTTACTGTCCTGCCCATCCAAGCGCTTTCTTTTTTTTCTTTTTTGCTAGTTTGTGAATATTTAATAATTTCCTTATTCGAGTCGCAATAAAGCGGAGTTCGACATGTTAGTTTCTACACTAGAGAGAAAGGAAGTGAATTTCTTTGAAGTATTTAGTACACTTACGTCAACGAAATGTCCAACAAGATACAACGGACAAAACAGGTCATAATCGGTACAAATATTTGTCTCCGAGCTGACAGTATTGAGGTGATCTGATCCTTAGTGTAACCTTACATGAGCAAAAACGACGTTGTAATTTTAGAAACGCTACCCCAACGTCACGGACGGCACGTAAAATTTCATATTATAATTGCATTTCTTTTTTGTTCCATCAAGTTCCCACCAAGGTGGAACTCGTTACATTGGAGCCTGAAAACAAAACTTGCATCAATTAGGGGAGTGAACCTTTAAACTATGTATTATAAGCGCAAGTTCGTCTGCTTCCTTTCCATGGATCGTGAAGACGCCAGAACGCCGCGGGCTCTGATTGGCTCTGATTGGAGGATAGTAAGCGAGAAATAGGGACTCTAACCAGAGAGGCAGAAGACTGCCCAGCGTTTATCTTTAAGTTGAAGGATAGTGGGTAGACCTCTTGGCGTCACCAGACCCTGCAAAGGAAGCAGACGGACTTGCGCTCCACATTGATCTCGGAAGCGCGCACTGCCGCTTTGAAGCACATTTCGAAGCGCGCGCCCGGCGCATTATTGGGCCCTCGAAAACTATCCGTTAAAACTTAGTAGTAGCTTGAAAGATTTGTAGTCGTATATACAACTTTCGCAAACCTTTACCTGCGTTACTCAAATAAAATATTATTTACCAAAATTCTGGTTTTAAATTGTCCCTGATGCTGCATGTCTGTATGCAAGACATGTGCTATTCATACACGTTACGTTACTCATTTATAAAGTGTCGTCCACTCTTTGGAAGGTCTCACACAAACGACTTTATTTTAGGTGTCTACGTAGCAGTTCAAGCACGAAGATCTCATCCACCGAGGGCTATCACGTTTCGTAAGCACAACGCCATATGCAATCAAGAGCTTGCGTACACAAGATTAGCAGAAACATCGCTGTCAAGAAAAGAAAATTTTGATTTCCAATCGCTTGCTTGACCATTCAATTCTCAAAATATGCCCATTCGCAACTGTAACCGCTAGTTGCTTCGGTATTCCTGTTTCTAAGGTTCGTGCATTCACCGCTATGAGGTGGTCGTTCTTTCAGCATAGCCCAATAGGTGCGAGGTCCTCGTTTCTCAGCTTCACGTTTCCTCCTCTAGATGGCCTTAACCTCCTTTTTTTTTCCTGCCTGGGTGAAACAAGTCGCCGCCCAATTCAAAGGGTTGATCATGTCTATACATCTAGTGGAATGTGCGCCAGTGCTTCGTTATCAAGAAGAGTGAAGATTGGTGGACAACGTGATTTGTCTTCAGTGTATTTAAACGGATTCGGGGGACACTTTGGTTGAGAGCGGACTGCCAATACCACAGTCGAAAACCCGACACCGAGGGAGATAGACGTCATGAGATACGACTCAGAGAAGCAGAAGTCGGCGAGTTGAGTGCACCACAAGGGACAAGAGGCTACTCGGCTAGCCTCTCCTGGATCATGCAAGTCAGGGACTGGCTCCGAAAGGTGACCGTCTTGGGGGGTATGGACACGGCGGCGATGCCCGTCATGGCTTCGGGGTACTCCGCAGGGAACCGGTAGCAGTCGTCCAGCTGCAGGTAGACTTCGGGACGCTTGAGGGGGCCGTTCAGCACGCTGCTGGTGCCGCCGATGACGTAGATGTTGGTGTCTGGAACAGACACCAACAAAACATAACGAAAACTTGACATTCATATAATGTCAAAGATCCATTTGTATTTTTTTTTATTGCACAATCTAAGAAACTAAAATTGCGAACGTACGCCCGCTCGACCCATACTGGAATCGCATAACACGTTTATGCCGTGTAGCTGGTATACATATTATGGACCAACTAATAAATTGGTGTGTAATGCACCGATTAAATTGGTGTATAACTATGCATCAATTAGATTGGTGCATGACTATGCACCAGTTCCATTGGTGTTTAGCCTTTCTCCCTTCTCACTAAATTCAGCAAAAAGGTCGAAGCTTTTTCGCTAAATTCGGCAGGAGAAGTATTCGTTGAAGAAATCGGGGAAAGTATAAAGGTCAATAGTCACGTAACATTACCTAATGTAACCCCGCAACTTGCTGAGTCCACGGAACATAAATCTACCCTACATCTTGAATATAGAGCAGCGTTTTTTGCTCAATTTGTGGTCAAAGAAAGCGTTGTGCTTGTTTTTTTTTTTTTTATTATTATTATTTTCTCACCGGCAATGGCTACGGCGGCTGCGTGCCTGGAGTGCACGGTGCAGCCCCGATGCTGCCAGCTTCCACCGGGCTCGAGCACGTCCACGTCCCTCAGGCTGACCAGGGGCAGGCCCGGCTCGGAGTTGTCGTAGCAGCCACCCAGCAGCCACAGCTTCCCGCCCACGGACGCGGCGCCGGGGAAGGCCCGCGGTTTGGGCAATGGTTCGCCTGCCGACCACCTGCTCGCGCGCGCGCGGACCACGTCACCGTTTTGAGCGAGGTTCGCATGCTGAAACAAGTCCCGATACTGGAATGCCTCGACACCATTCGCCATTCCCACTCTAAAAAAATGTTTGTGCATCTACTTTCCCGCACAACACTCGGAGAGCCAATCACCGCAACTTACGGAGGCAGCTCAGCGAATGACAATGCCGAAACATATGTTTAGACCAAAAAAACGCAGTCTGAGTTGTGACATTAAGCAATGCAAGCGTGACGTTTTGCATTGCTTAATGTCACAACTCAGACTGCGTTTTTTGGTCTAAACATATGTTTCGGCATTGTCATTCGCTGAGCTGCCTCCGTAAGTAGCGGTGATTGGCTCTCCGAGTGTTGTGCGGGAAAGCAGACTCACGGGCTTTTTTTAGAGTGTATAGTCAGTTACAGGCTAAGAAAAGTTATCGAGGGAATGCAAGGCTGGAGAGGAGGAGCAAACGGAATGCTGAACGGGAGAGGAGAGGAAGAAGCCCCCTCCTTTCTCCAGCGTTCCGTCTGCTTCCTCCTCCCTAGCCGTTCCTTTCCCCCTAAAACTTTTATTAACCTGTAAGGGACTATAGAATGCAGCTGCCGACAATTTAAGAAACGCCAGGCTTGGCGAATAGCGAGCAGTTCATTTTCGCTCCACAGCGAATGAAGTTTCACCCGACAAGAAAACCACGCCTTTTGTTTCTGTCACTTGCAGTGTACGCCAATCAAAACGCACCCGGTCGCCATCTTCGTTTCATATGACAATCCATGATATGCTGCACTCGTGGCCTGTTCGTCCGATTTCCTACACGATCAGTTTGTGGTAGGCCAAAAACGGATGGAATTATTAAAAAAAAAAAATGAAACTTTACAGTAGTCATTGACAAACTTCGTGAACTAATGTCGTAAAAATAAAAAAAGGCAATTGCAAGCAAGGCGACTGGTCACCGCGGTGTCTCTGCTCGTGCGCGGTCAAGCCCGTGCAAGTGCAAGCATGCCGAAGCTATTTATCACGCGTAAGCTGCTTGAGCTTGCACACATGGGGCCCCAATCATGCGCCATGCTAGCAGTTGTTTATACTCCGCGGTCCACTGCTAAGCTGGTAGGGCAGTAGTGCGACCTACCAGCTTAGCGTCGCTTGTCGGCTTTTCACGATTGGCCAGGTACTCGCCTAGACGTTTTAAAACTACTTCATTCTGCTTTCATCGACGGAAACAAGAGCGATGTCAGTCAGTCAACGGTGGCGGTGTTGGTTCCAGAACGCGATGACTCCGAGATTCGACAGTGCTTTTCGCACGCCCGCACCATTGGACTTGGCGGTCGCGACGAATGATAAGTAGATCACAACTCGTCACGTCACGATCTGTCATTCCTCTCCATGTCGTCACAAAGAGGAGCCATTGCGAGGCGGCAGCGAAACACCTACGCTCTAAGACCCGCTTCAGACGGAGCAATTCCACCCAGCAACTTGACGTCGCAACACCAGCAACACGGGCCGCCCGTGTTCACACGCAGCAACCGAATTGCTACGACTTGTTATCATCATCAGAAAATTTTCTTTTTCTTTCACTCTTTAGACACCCAGCTACGCGCTAAAAACGTGTTCTTATATTTTTGAATGGCGTTGAGAATACTAACTCATTTTTCTGAAAAGGTTTATTTCCAGAAACGATCCATTTCAAACCAGAACCAAGTCTTTAGTCATTATCACCACCACAGGAGTGTCACGTGAAAATATCGCGTCCCTGATTATTGGCTGCTGCCGCTTCAAACGTCTCGGAGTTGTTCAGGTTGCTCGTCCGTTTCGAGCCGAACCTCAAAACGCCAGCAACCTCAAAATTGCTGGAAAAGTTGCTCCGTCTGAAGCGGGCCTAATCAACACCACCTAGACGGAAGGCCTCCGCATGGTTTCCTCTTCTTCTATGAAACGTCATCACAGTCGGATCGCGCTCGGTCGGCTATTGGACCGGAGCCCGACCTTCGACGCGCTGATTGGCCACGAGCCGCAGCCAAACACTGACGCAGCACTCGTGCCCAATCTCTCGCCTCGATCGATCTGACTATGATGACGCGTGTGGAGGCCTTCTGTCTAGGTGGTGTTGGCCTAATGCATGGGTGCTCGCGGTACCAGTAAATCGTTCGACTTTCATCTCCCAACCCCGCTGTGAGCGCGGGATCAAGCGGTGCAAGGTGGACGGTTAACTGGTCCAACGACCGCATCGCTTCCTCCTCCCTGTCAGCTTATCCGACAAGGAGCACAGTCCTATATTAGAGCACACCATTCGGTTTCCATATCGGTGCAATCGTCATGAGCAGCTTTCCACGCAGAGACGCTAGACGGGACGCTGCAAATTTGGCGTTCCCGAAAGTCAAACAGCGTTCGGAAACGACCGGATGCGGCTGTGAAAGTCACATTCGGCCGCCAAACTTTCCGTGCACACTGCACTGTTGGTATTTCACGTCTAGCTTGTCTGTTTGCTCAGCATTTTAGTTGAGCTGTGCCGAAAAATCATTGGTTTGCGATTAAAAATTATGCTATCCAATAGATTGGATTCCACCCCGTCCATCGTCCGAAAGCGTGCACTTATCGTTTAGCAAACTTGGGCGCAATCTACCCAACCGGATGGTATAATCTGTACTATATTTTTAACCCTGAAAACGGTTCAACGGGACGTCGGACTCTTGGATTCTAGTCGGCACGTTCAGGTTACGTCGGCAAGCAAACGGATATGGCGTATTTTTCCCGGATTGTAGTCCGCGGGCTCTGCGTGTTTACAAGTTAAAAAGTTTTACGCGGTGCGGACTATACCTACAGGTGCAAACTATACTCAAGGAAGTGTTTTTTTTTTTTTTTTCCAAGACCGTTTATTACGACCAGCCGTCATGAATTTTGTGAATTACAGGTTGTTATTCATGATTTCTGTACGATACAGGTGTCGTGCGCTAATAAAGCAGGCAGTTTTCGAGTTGTGCTGTGTATGAAAATATGTTTACGCGTGAAATATACGCCGGGTGTTGATTGGGTACAAGGTGCGGAGCATACACCATCCCAACTTTGACGTCACGGCCACTGCGGTGGTGCTGCTGTTGGCACTGCGCCTGCGCAGACGCTGCATTTCTCATGATTTCTGCGGGCAAACGCTGACTCGTTTGTTGCCAGCATGTCGGCCTATATGCCAAAAATTTGCTCGTGCAAATTCTAGTCCGGGAAATAGAGTACACGTTCAGATCTGTGCACACGCTTTCGTTTGGACCACGTTGTTACGACTTCTTACAACGAGAAAGAACATTGGCGCCATCCATGATGTGACCCTGGAACTGCGCTTCACTGGAGCGAAGGTTTTTCGGTATTCTCGAGATCAAAAGGGTCGTTTATAGCATTGTCAAAAGTTTTTTGAGCCAAGAAAGAAAGAATTACGAGCGAAAAAAATTGCACATATGTCGAAGTGCCAAGTGTTCCACGGCTCGCCAATAGATGGCGCCAGTGCGTCTTCTCGTCGTAAGAAACTTTAAGAGGTTTTAAGGCACACGGTCGTCAGCAGTCGCGAGTGTGTGAACCAGTTTTTCCACGTACGTGTGCGAGTGAACGTCGTAAACGTCGACCCTGTCGACGGCGCGGTGGAGGTCCCCGGTCTCGGGGGTCATGCCCCCGACGAGGAAGATCTTGTCGTCGACCACGGCGCAGCCCACGGCCATGCGGGCAATGTCCAGCGGAGTCACCTCCTTCCAGCTGTCCGAACCGGGGTCGTACACCTCGGTCGAGGTCAGGGCCCTGGACACCGTGGACACGGCACAGCCGTCATGTCATGTACAGAAACGCTCCCGCTAGAGTCCCGGCCCTTGCGCGCCATTGCGTCTTGTCGATGCATCGCCTCGCCCTTGTCCCTTACCTCTTCTTCTCTGCTTGATGTTATTGTTTCCGAAAATATCTGGCAGCTGGCCAACTCCGTACATCCTGCCGTGATTTTTTTTTTTTTTTTTTTTTAGCGGAACATTTAATTTCAAAGTGTCGTCCGAAAAATATTTTCTCGGGGGCAGTCTCCAACAGAAACGTGCATAGAGTATAAGCTATCCAGAAGCTGCTGCTGATAGAGGAATGCCCTTTCGTTGGAGACGAGGCTGAAAAGTTCGGGATACTTTTTGAATTCCTGAACGACAAGGCGAAGCGAATGTATTTTGACATGAGCTTCACATCCCTCGGTGATTTTCTCAACTCCTTTATGAAGTTGGATCGAGCAAGCGGGAAGGCCAAAAATGCAGACGCGAATACTTTAAGAGTTTTGGATTCCCACGAGGATGCGAAAGATAAACTCCGCTCTGTCGTCAACGCTAAGCGGAAATATAACAGCCAAACATAACCCCGTCAGAGACAAGCTGAATTGTGTGTTCTGAGAATGACAAACCACGGTCAAGCAGTACCTGTCAAAAGCAATTCTATCACCAGAAAGACGCAGCCCCGATCAAGGTTCAACAGAACTCCTGTCAGAAAGTTCTCAAGCTTTGCCTGAATTGCAAGCAGGAAGGGCATCTTGTGACATGGTGTCCACTGCCTCTGACACAGCAGTTCCTTGAATGGCAACGTGCATTTCAAATGGCGCCTAACGTTGCAAAGGATCAGAAAAACTCCGGTCTGATGTCATCAGGGAGACTCGAGTTGTGCAGGGAGACACCAGTTGTGCAGCGGAAAAGCTGCGAGTCATCCGCTGCCGTTGAACGGATTCCCGTCTTCATAGAAACTTTTCAGCTCAGTGCGGTCTTGGGTTCTGGTTCCAGAAGTCTCATGAATGAAGCCGTTTGCCGGAAACTTTAGCTGACACCTTTAAGGCCAGTTCTCACATGCTGCCAAGCGCTGATATAGCGCTGCTCACGTGTCGCCAGCTCTACTTATCGTCTGCCTTAAACAACAGTTTTGACGGTGCGATACAAAGCTGGAGAACACTCCTGTCAGCACGCGCTTAGCGCGAGGTCAGCGCTATGCTTCTAGCGCTCCGCTGCATGTGTGAACAGGCCTTTAGAACAGAACTGAAGCGGTTCTGTATTTGAGTAAAAACATATAAATCGTCTTTATTTGGCTTCTAGGATCACGAATATCGAGATTATTTTCCAGTTCGGTGCGCAGAGCCTCCAGAAAATTCAAAGTACCGCATTGCCCCCCCTTCCCCCCCCCCCCCCCCCCCCCCCCCGCCTTTTCCCGGACCGTCATGTCTAGGGTGCCTCAATGTCCTTCTGTTTAGGGTGATGCCACCCTTTGTAGTACCCGATGCCGACAGCGCGCGCTCACGGGGAAAATACAAAGAAATCAACGAAAATAAAATGTCGCCATAATACAGTCAACGCCACAAACGCGTGCAGGGCCACGCTCTTTCACGCGCTTCTGAACAAAAAATAAAAATAAACGTGTGAGACAAAATGGCGAGATGCCACCACCCTAAGCAAAGCGCACATGAAGGCACCCTAGTCATGTCATAAAAGGAGTTTTCGGAATCTCCGCTCTCGCGCATCTTCGGCGCCTATCAAAGCTAGGCACGCGTACTCCTGCTATCTTTAAAAAGGTAAAAAAAAAACAAAAAAAACACGTCACTACTGGTGTGATATCACGGGAACATAGCTGGCAAGCTTGCAATTGCACGCGCTGCCCACACGAGCGACACGCGCTTGGCGGCCGAAAGTTCCTTTTATGACGTAACGACTGGTCGGATGTTTTTCGTGTTTTCTCGCGTTTAGTTACATCTTCGGGGAAAACGAACGCTCGACCTACTCCACCAGTCAGATAATCTCTTCTTGGTTATCTCCAGCTTCCCCGTGTTTATTTTCCCCTCACTATCCCTAAATCCCAGTGTGTTTGATAAATTAGTCGCCTCCTCAGCTACTACAGGGGGGAAGAAGATGTCGACTGCAGCGCCGCAGGCGGCCGTCCGCTTTTTTTGGCACAGCGCCTCCCACTGATGTTGGCCTCGCTTTTGCCACTATACTCCCCCTTGTAGAACATTGAAATTTTGGGGAAAAGGGGACGTTCTGAGCGACGAAGCAGCGTGGCAGTTTCACAACTAGGTTGATCTAGTAATGTTCGCATATATATCTATAGAGTGTCTGAAGTCGCCAGGCTCGATCTAAAATGGACCGTAAGAATCGACTCCTGCACGTAGCAATCTAAACTTTTGCCAAATGTGTATTTTACGGGTCGGTTTTATCCTGTAAAAATACAAAGCGTAGCTCCCTTTTTGCAAAAAATAAAACCAAAAAACTTGCCAGGGTCAACGGCGGATGGCGACGCAGACTACCGAGTCCAGTGGCAGGGCGCGTTTGGCGCACGTATTGATAGATGGCGCCAGGAGCAGCGTCGGAAGGTGTACCCGACCAGCGAAACAAAGCATACGACACTCAGACGAAATCCGTCGGCAGCAAAGACGGCGTCGTTATGCAACCGCGTTTTTTTTTTTGTGTATTTTAGGTTTTGCTTTTGTTGTTCGCATTTATTTTTAAACCAAAGGTACATAACATAAAACATGTGTTTATTTTAATAGATCACGGTCGTCACGAGCAGTCTCGATAAGGATGTAGCGCCATCTATCAATACGTACGCTAAACGCACCCGGCCACTCGACTCGGTCGTCAGCGTCACCGTCCGCCGTTGACCCTGGCAAGTTTTTTAGCGCAATGTTTTACAGAAAGGCAGCTACGCTTTGTAATTTTAAAGGATAAAACCGACCTCTGAAATGCACCTTTGAGGTAAAGTTCATTGCTACATACAGGCGCCGATTTTTACAGCCCATTTTAGATCGAGCCTGGTTATTTCAGTCACCCTATATAAAGAATCGTAATATAGAGCAGTCTCACCGACCGAGGCGCCCCCTGCCGCCAAAGACGTACACCTTGTCCAAGCAGGCAGTGGCGCCGTGGGCGGCCCTGGCGGATATCATGTCTGCTTTCCTGGACCACTCCATCGTCTCCAGGTCGTAGGCGAAGGTGGTCTTGGAAGCCACCAGCTCACCACACTTGCGAGTCTCGGGATCGAAGCCCCCTGCCGGCGATGGCGAGTGCAACCATGGAGACAACAAGCTTGCTGAAACTAACTCTCGTGTCGATCGTTTTTCTTTTTTGATGTCAGTAAGAAATGGCGTGTGGAAGTATCTTAATGATTCGATTAAACATGGCAATGCCAGTTTTTAAATAGCGTGTTGATGAAAGCTTAGAAGTGAACTCAATATTGAACATGGTTCCCAATTCATCTCGTCATTGGACGTGGAGTCAATCTTTTTTTTTCTGTCCAATGCTTTATTCAATACTGTAGTCTCAAAAACATCTTGTTGTGATGGCGTTTCATGAAAAAAAAAGCTATTTGTGTGATTTATCGTGCATATGTAATTGAATCTTACGTGGAATAATCAATCGCACATTAGTTTATATGAGGCTTAATTTACAGTATTGAAGGTCAAAGACCGGCGTCAGCCTAGCTGTCTTTCTAGCGTAAATGTCACGAAGAAACGTTTTCTCAAAAAGACTGCCGATGTGAACGCAAACCTGCAACGCAGGTGTAGAAGGACGATCGTATTGGCTTCTTCAGCGCGTGCATACATTACAAGTTCCTATTCACATAGAGACCGGGTAGTCTAACCGCATCATCGACGAGCGCTCGAATTTACCTTGATCTGCTCTAAAATGTTGAACAAGGCTGTCGACGTGGGCGTTGCTTGCAAGGGATGGATGAACGGATAGTTACGACTAAACCTTTTGACCTGGATGCCGGCTGGCGCCACCTACGTTCAGAGTTTTAAAACGCCGTGAAAGTAAGTTGACGTCAGATAGCGGCAAGGCTTAGTTCCTCTCGGTCGCTATATATCTCGGAGCACTAAGAGCTTTAGCAGCAGGTGGCTGTTTGGAGCCTCGCACAATATCTGTTTTTGGACATTGTTGTTTTAAATAATTTCTGTAGCATCGCACCGTTAAGCTAACTTAGTATACTGTCACCCTGCTTTGGCGCTTGTTGCTTAAAGGCCGACGTACACTTCGCGCTTTCCACTTTTGCACGCCTCCTCCTCCTCTCCTATATTCTTTCCACTTTTTACCTTGCCCCATCTTGGCTCCCCTCATAGCTTAGGAGAGGGGAGGGCTAAGGGGATTTTTTCTCTGCAGAAAACCGGGGTTGTACGTCGGCCTTTAACGGGCAACTCCGGTCAATATTTTCGAATTTGGGATTATTCCTGCTTTTAGCTCAGGCAGTTTCCCTGAATTGCAAGGTATTTCTTTTTTTCTCCAGATGTTATGTGTAGTTTTATAGATATCGCGGTTCAAAGTTTGGTTTCGGTAGTCTACGGCAAAACCGAAACTATCTGCTAGAGGGACGGCAACACTGATCATCAGCAGTACGGCCGCGACGTCACGTCCCCGTGGTGCTACGGTATACGTGGTACAACGTGCGGAATCAACCGCAGTTCCACCGAGACGTTGATTTCACGGGGGTACTGCGGTACGCGTCGCCCAGCGTGCCTTGACTAAAAGCCAACCCGCTAAAGAACAGCTGGTCGCATCTTTCAAATCGGTTTTAGTGGAGTGCGCGTCTTCGCTCTGACGTAATACTTCGGCTGTGATCATATTTCGTGCCACTAAAGCGATACTAGTCACTGATTTTGGTTTCGTTTAGGACCAGAGTTGCCCTTCAAAAAGATACAGTTACTCTAAAAGAGGGATCATACGTTCAGAATGCGCTTCCTGAGCATACAGCCCTCAGCAAGCGGTGCGTTACTACCACTTGGCGGAGCACTGAAAAAACAAAGTATAATTACTCCCTCTGCTGGGCGGCCGAGTGTTTAGACTGGCTGGAGGAAGATTCGCTCACCGGCAGTCTCGGAGGTCATGGTAAACGAAGCAACTGGTGCCGAGAAGCAAAGCATGGCACTTCAGCTAGTGTCATATGCGCTCAAGTACATGCATTATGCACGGAATGTAGCTTTGGCAGGCTTGCAATCGCGGGTGTTTGTTCTCACGAGCAGACGTATGACGGCAAATGAAAAATCACACTACGTGTTTTTATTCTTCTTCCTTTTTTTTTTTTTTTCTTGGTGCGCAAACGCATGCGTCTGGACGTCGATCCCCTGACAGTTTGCCACCGGGCAGTACGTGAGTTAGTTGGACTTGGTTCCCCCCGCCGACGCAGCAAGGCTGAGCTGAGCAAGCGCTGTGCACTGAAAGCTGCCGCGGAAGTACGAACACTCAAGTGTATCGTGCTCTGAATTGCAAGGTAATGCATTAGTCTCGCATGCGTGTCAAGGACCTTTATAACAAAGAGCCTTTGGATTTTAGCTTTGCAACGTTCAGTTTTGATACGGTTTCGCGTAATATATGCATGTTTACTTTCCCAATATAAGACCGACGTTAATCGCTGTTTACTGTATTCAGGCACAACAACACCAATTACCTAGACAGGCTATCAGTGGTGCACAAGAGGGACCAAAGTGGCCGTGGTAATATTTAAATAAAACGCTTCTGTGGGTTCACCCTGATGAGGCACTGTTAGTGATCTTCACATTCCAGTAAGCTCCAGTGTATAGCTTAGACATCGGAAATATCCTTAACACCGAATAGTCAATTTCGGTGTTTATCTGTTTTCCACCGATCTTTGCAAAGATGTTCGGTGCTTCCCAGAAAATACCGAAAGATTAGCGTGAGCTGTGGGTAAAGCAACTAAAGCTTGAAACACATGTGAGCAAAAATCGACAAACATTGCTATCATTTGTGGTTTCTACAGTAACGCCGGGCGCTAGTGCGATGCGAAGCGATTTTTGCTCATGTGTCTTTGTCTCACGCTTTATCGTCTGCGACGAACAGCGCGTTGGTGTGGAATAAAAGTTGTGGTAGCTCGCTGTCAGCGCGCGCGAAACATCAGTGCACGCGCTGCTATGGTGGTTAGTAAATACGCCGCATAAGGGCGTGTTCACTCGTCGGGGACATGGTACATTCACGGCATGTGACTTGCAGACACCTTTCGGTGCCAATCGAAGAAAAGGGCGTATGGGCGAACGCGCGCCTCGAGTGCTAATTAAGGCTGTGCACGCGCACTCTTTACTTCTACAAAAAATCCGTACACAGTTGCCCCCCATCCCCCCCCCCCCCCCAAAAAAAAAAGAAGAAAAAGATTTTGCTGTTATATAGTCGGCTCTCAAGAAGAGACTGAGTAAGCCCCAAATCATTGCGTCTCAAATTAGGACTTGGTTAGACGTCCTTTTGTAATCACCATGTGAGGGGTGATTACAAAAGGTGCACAATCACGGAGCTTACCTGTGATGTAGACTGTGCCTCCGATGAGGACTGCCCCGTGGTAACTCCTCGGCTCTGGCATCATGCCGCAGAGGTCCCAGCGGTTCTTGAGCACGTGGTAATGCAGCACGACACGTCCTGGAACGACGAACACAGGGACAGCGTTCTGGAGAATCATAATTGCGAACGGAATCGAAGGTCGTAGTGCTCTTTTTATGTTAGATAATCATTAGCGAAGATGAAGCGTCCCTTGGAAAAGAGCAACACGCTAAAATTTTGTTGATTCTTTTGTCGTTATTTTAAACAGAAAATAAAATTTGGAGTGTATTTTTTAGATGACATAATTTATTTCCTATCTACTGTAATATACTTTCAATAGCAGACTCGTACTACGTGTGTTAGCGTTACGCTGCGGACGTAGGCCGAGCCTGGCAACTAGCGTGTGCATACTGAGAGTTTATTTTAATATACTATTAGGAAAAAAAAAAAAACAGAAGGAACTAACTGCAAGTAGGGGCAGAAAGGGAAGTCTGTATTTGCCTGTCCGCGCAAAATATGTTTCTAACTTTATCCAGGATAACATGCCACACTAGCTACTGAGCCGGAATAACACGCCGAAAAAAAGGCTCCAATAGTGTATCTGAAAGTGGTTATTTCTTAAGTGTTAAGAGTTCTAAGCCGCCGATGCATCCCGGTGTCCACGAAATGGCACTGAAATACGTCACAGAAGCAGTCGAGGGGACGCTACAGATTGTGATTTTGGCGTTCCTGGTGGTTGCTCGTGAAAGCAACGCAGTAGAAGAACATCTTCGCGGTGTACTCGCAAATGCAACCCGCGACTGCTGGAGTGTCTTCCGGCTGGCAGGCTGCAGAGCAAGCTACAGCAGACGTACCAGGCGTCTGCTTCTGCATGCGTTTCTCGTGCCGTTTCACTGCCAGGGTCGCAACGATCTGCAGCGTTCCCCCAGCTGGGAGGTCAACAACCGAAAATCGAGCGGACAAACTGAAGACCAACGGGGATACATCAGGAGAATTAAAATATGTGAAAAGAGCGCGAAATAGACCGGATAAAGGGAGATACGCGCATACACCAACTTATTTTATCTTCTTTTGTTCCTAGCTGTATACTCCGTTTCAGGATGAACAGCGGGGGACGCATTGAGCCACCTAAACCAATTCAATGCCACGTGAGTGTCACATAACCTTAGGGAGGGGCGGAGCGACGCAGGGGGCGCGTGATACGGTAACAGCCATGAGGAAGCTTCTAGAGGTGACATGACGCCACCGGAGGTAAAGCCAGAAGTGCGGAGGGACACGCTCCCAACGAAAACAGCTGTGGTTTTGGTCATCGTTGGGGGCTTGTCCCTCCACACTTCTGGCTTCACCTCTGGTGGTGTCATGTCATCTCCGGAAGCTTCCTACCTCCAGGGTCAGAGCGTTGGTTTGGCTGCAATGGTTCGTAGCGTCCGCAGCGGTCCATCGTAAGTCGACACGGAGCGCATAGTCTGTGCCTTTTGGATATTCTAGTTACTCTGGACCAACTAGCCCAAACCACATGTTTACTATACAAGACAGCCCATCGGATAAGGCACCTGCCGTTTGCGTAGTTGAGCGGGTCCCGTGGGTCGAGGCCCCCAAAGGTCAGGATGACCGGAAGAGTCTCGTCCTGGATCTTGCGGACCCTCCGGAGTTTCTTGGCGAAGGCGGGGAGGCCGATGGCGTCGCGGAGGCCCAAGACTTCCCTGCTTCCGTTTTGGGTTAAAACCCACACCGTAAGCAAAAAAAAAAAAAAAAAAAAAAGACACAACTGACGCCATTGACGCCGGCTGGTAGACATGCCGACCACACACCGTTATGGCCATGCTCAGGAGGTAACAATAACAAACTACGTTACAGCAGACTGTGTGTCACGCCGTCGCATTTAGCGATCCTGGCGGTTGGTTGTAGAAGCTCCGGTAATGCGCACGTGTGAGCGCGGGTGTCGATGTCGTTGGAGACTGGGTAGGAGGAAAGGCAACTTTGGCTGCCTCTGTCTCTATACCCTGTCTCCTTCTAATCAGAGCTAGCAAGAGCGTCGTATGTTCCACGTGCAGAGGGAGCAGTGGAGTCAGTGTCTGGCGTTCCAACTTTGACCGCCGGCGTCGTCCGCTACTCCTAGTAAGGACTCTCTTACCTTATCCCTGGTTTAGAAACTCCACCGATCCTCTACGAACGTGAATGTATATAGCCTTCTAGGCAGGGGAGTCGAAATACCTCGAAGGGTTCGTTGATTTTGTCGGTTAACAACTGCCAGACGCGTTCGAACGAACGAGTAGATACGGGTGGAGATTTAGAGAGAGAGAGGAGGAGACAAACGGTCCCTGCGCTCTTTCGTCTTCTCCTCACTTTCAATCCTTACCCGTATTACCGATGCGTCGTCTGACCCCGGCTGAGGAGTAGCTGCGAAGGCGGAGATTCGTCCCTGACGCGACCCCTCCTCTCAACGCGCCTTTTCTTCTGTCCCTCACTTGGCGCACCGCATAGTCGTCAACGCGTTCCTAGCGTCATAATAGCGAGTTTTAGTAGACCACTTTCGTGCGCCCACTTCGCTCTTCGGAGCGGCACAGCCATCACTGCGCATGCGCGGTCGGCCTGAGAGTGAGCGTAGCCGGCTGCGCGTGCGCAGTTGGGCAGTCTCGAAGCGGAGTGAAAACTGAAAACGATCTACTAAAATTCCCTCATATTACGGTGCGCTCGGGGATGTGCGCAGAGGAAGCGCGTCTGCTAATAGGGACGTATAAGTGGCGATGTGAGAGAGCGGGCAAGGGAGCGAAGAACGCGCCCTCACTTGGTCTTCTGGAAGTCGTCGTCCACCTTGACGGTGATGCCGTGGTGGGGGTCGTTCGTGGGCGCCACCGGAACGTAGTGGTAGAATCGGGGAAGACTCGGCCGGCTCATCGGGGTGCGCAACTTCAGCTCGCCGACTCCTAGAAAGGTGCTCGAGTCCAGTTCGAGCTTGCTCGGGGGCCAGGCACCCTGGAACGTGCACAGTTTTAGAATCAGCTGACTACTAAAAGCCGGCTGGCAACCACATCAAAGCGTGATAATAAGGAACTATAAATTGTTGCAATCCTGGTGGTTCATACATGGATGCCTTTCACGCTACGTCATCGCACCATGTTGGCGGTCATTCCTACTTGTTCTTGTTGAAAAAAAAAAAAAACTCGGTGATGTGATTTTTTTTTTTTTAATCAGGTACGTCTTAGCAGCAAGGACACCACAATGGCCGCCGATCTGACGTCAATGCAAACCATGTGTTGCGACAAGTAAAGCTAAAGCAAAGAACGTTCATTACATTTAACTTAAAAGCAGACCCACAGAATCGTCTTCTGTCGGAAAACAAAACTTGAAAGCATAAAACAGAGAGGACGGGAACAGGACATCTTTCATATTTTTTTCGGGAAGAAAACCTATTCCTGAAGTTTGCTTGTCTCCATTTCCTCTGGCACTCTTCTCTCCTCCTCTCCCCATAGGAGCGGATCCGCGTGTCTCTGACCTACTCCCCACAGGAAGGAGGAGGGTATCGGTTTTTTTTCGCTTCGAAAGGAGGATTTGAGAAAGAATTTCCTCCTTTCCGGCTACTCGTTGGCCATTA